CAATTTGGATGCCAGGAAGTACTTCCCGACAGTTAGGAACCCAAGGGTATGGAATGGGCTTCCACTGGAGGTGGTTGAAGCCCCATCGGTGAGGGTGTTCAAGGATAGTCTAGACATGCACATGGGAGGCATGTCATGAGTGTTGCCAACTGGAGCCTGGGGTCAGGCTAGATGCTCTTCTGACTTCTCAGTTTCTATGTTTCACTAAAACAAGACTGGCACATTATGCCCACTTCAGACATCTGTATAACTTTGCTTGAAGGCTTTGCTATGTTAAGGACTAGTACACCCTATGGAGCTGTGTTCTTTTGCTGATAAAATTCATAAAGGGGCTATTTTGCCCCAGAGCCTCAGATTGTTGTCTTCCCTCTCCCAAATGTATATATTTCCCCCAAATTTCCCTAGTTTGTTCTTTCAATTAACTATTTTGGGAACTTTTAAAAACAGCAAAGATATTAATTGCAAAAAACCTAACTTATAGCAGGATTCTTCAGTTTCTTCATTACAAGAGTGAATGTCCGCGTTTTCTATTCTAATTCATGAAAGTGTTGCCTAAAAGGGAAATTTTACATGCAAATATTTTATGAAAGAGATTTGTCTAGATTGTTCGCTTATTTTCTTTCACGAAAATAACCTGTATTTAAGACACTTTTTCCAGGGCTCCTTATATCTGCTGTATAACTAAAGCTATATTAACATGGAGAATAATCTTTACCGGCCAGTTAAACCAGTATGTGTGTTTGTTTTTCCCCATTCATAAGCATTGTAGGTTTCCAGGGACAGTAAAATGAGACAAAAGGCCATTAGAACAAAAAGTGGCATTGAGCCAGTAAAATTAAGAGGATCAGAATGTCCAGCCAGTTGTTTCTTGCAGAAACAGTTTGGCAAAGATCACAAGAAAGCAAATTCTGCTGCCAGAAAGCAAGCAATGTTACTGAATCTTTGTTGTGCTGGTCTAGTGTGTACCAGCAAATGGGAAATATACATTGCATAACTGATGCCTAAAAGCCAAAAGGTTCATTATTGGCAGAATGTTCAATCCATATTTCATCGAAGAGTTCAGCAATATTTCAAAGACCTTGCAAAACATTTGGAGAGGGAAATTGAACTTGGGAACAGCTTGTGTGAGACAGAGGAACATGTCTGCAGCCAGTTGCACTGCTGGCAAATTTTGTTTGCTTTTAAAAATCATCTACTTGCTATTTCCCTTTTAGAACTTACTCATGCTATTTGAACAGCAGCATGTTGGTAAATCTGCTCAGCAAAACCAACATGAAAACTTGCCCAGCAAAACCAACTTGAGCGCCTCTTGCCTAGGCACTGGCTGGCCAGGGCTTCTCACTCCTGACATCTTCCAGGACCAGGGCTGGCCCATGACACTGGCCCATGAGGGAAAAGGCAAAATGATGCACCATCCCCTTTCCATGTGCAGAAGCCAGCAGCACTGGCAGCTGAATCTTGTTCCAACTGCCTCTTACTTCAAAGGGGCAGGATCTTTCCCCACACTTGAGGAATCAGGCTAACTTAGGCAGGCCTAAACAGGATTGTGGCATGCACAATTCAATCTTGCAACAGAGGGGAATAGCAAGGAGCAGGCAGGAGACTGCTGCCACCCCCACCCCCCCGCTTCAGCATCTGTCACCTGAAGTGGTCTTCTCAATCTGCCTAATGATACAGCCGGCCCAGCCCAGGACCCACAGCTCACTCGCACAGAAGAGGATGTTGGTAGATATGGTAAGTGCTTTTTTTTTGTAAAAAAAAAAAAAAATGGTGCTGGAACTCAGATCTTGTTAATCTTTTATTTAGGGTTTTTTTAGGGTAATCTTTTATTAGCAGCACCAGTGGTTGAGAAGTAATTAGTATTTTTTTTCATTTTTAAATTTGGGGTCACACTTTTACACTAAAAATTAAAAAAAGATTTTCAATTCACCAACTTTTTTTAAAATAAAGAAATTATTTACCTTTTGCACATAGCCAGTCACTCTACACACACATAAACATAATGGTCGCGGCCAGCAGTAAGCACTCAGCACGCAATCACATGACCGATCCCAAGTCAAGCAGCATCCCCAGCTGAGCAGCACCCTCACAATCAGCGCGGACACACAAGCAGTCCGCATGCACTATTTTAATGATTTTTGCCACCGATCTGCTACACCCGACAGGGTGATTCAAAATCACTTGGAAAAATCCATCAAAAAAAGGTGCCAGAACGCTGTTCCAGTGCGTTCTATGACAAAAAAAGCCCTGGATATGGTGAACAAGAGTCAAGCATGGAAACAGGAGGCCCAAGTCCGTCATGCCCTTTAAGTCCCCTGCCCATGTCCTCAGGTTGCAACAACTGGAATTCACCTGAGCACCTGCTGCTCCTTGTTCAAACATGGAAGAATGTTAGTATTAAAAGCAGTACTCCCAGTGGTTCACGATTAACAAAAGGGTTGTGGGGTTTCCCAGGCAGGCCCCTACATAATTCCAAAGGTGTGCCAATTGAATGCTGTTATTTAAAAGAGCATTCTGTACATGCTTCAAGACTCTTTCCTCTTAGTGAGATGTTCCAGGACTGAGTTGATACTGGAAAGGAGATTTAGCACTGATAAAGAGATTCTTGAGTAGCTGTAATGAAACCCTGAGCAAGATTTTGAAGCGATAAACACAGTTTAATATGCATACCAAATACAAGCATATTTCCAATGCAAGAGTGAGAAACTTGAAGTCCTTGGACTACATACAGCTTTCAGCCTAATTTCAAAACCCTTTGTAAACCATCCATTCATATGAGCTAATAAGACTGGACTCCGAATGTTAGTATTTACTGGAGTCTCAGAACCTTCTATGCAACAGGGGGTAAAATACTAGAGGCAGGGATCCCCAATCCTTCTGGAACCAGGAACACATTTGGTAATTCGAGAAGTTGCCATAGCCACCATCATAAAATGCCCAATCAATGGATTATCAATGGATAATGCAATGGATTGAGGACTTTACAATGCTTTCGATATTTGAATGGGTGTCATATCAACATTACCTTCAAGTGAATATTTATTAATATTTGGCTTGCCTGTTTTGAAGCCTATGAATAATTGCAAAATAGTTGCAGGCTTCCATACAAATCCAAGTATGCCAGGTGCCATCGATGCCACACTGGGGACACCTTTGGTGTGTTCATGGGCATTTTGTTGGGGACTTCCTAGATAAAGATTGTAACACACACGCATACACAAAACAAAACAGTTGGAGAGTCCCAAAACCAGAATGATGGTTTACGAGAGACAGCTGGTATTTTTGGAAGTTGGCTTGGGTCATAGTCATGTGCATGTACAGACAGAAAAAGTCCTATTATGGGAGATACTGGAAATTGCAGAACATCTTTTGTCTCAAAGTGCATAGGACTGTAAGCTTCGCCTGTTCCCACAATTTGGGTATCTGCTGAAGATGCTCTTCATTCCAAAACACAATGGCTTTATTTTATTTTTAAAGTCTTCATTAGTAGACAAGCATGTGTTCTTTTTTTGCATTGAAATTGATAAACAGGAAGCCAACATGGGTTCTTAAAATATTTTCAATCTGCAGCAAAATGACAAGCGCAAGTGTGTGTGTGTGTGCGGTAGAAAGAATGGTTACAAAACATGAGATTTACTTGCAGAGGTCTTCCAAATGCTGTAATGAAACCAAATACTGACAATATTATAAAACCTGATTTCCACTGTCAAAGTTCAATGGACAACCTAGTCTGTGGTGTCAGGATGGCATTACTCCTACAGAAACCAATGGGAAAGGCATGTCTCCTCTGGATTTCTGAAACTTGAAATTTTGCTGAGAACTGAGCTGTAAGGAAAGAACTGACAGAGTTGATGTCTAAAGGGGCAGGACTGGATAAGTCACAAAACTTGCTTGGCTTCTAATAAATGCTGGTCTAAATGGCAAAGATCTCCACAGAACCTGGGAATGCTTCTTGATGAGGCTTTCATCAAACTACTCCCCTGCCCAATTAATGAAATTATATGGTGTGTTAGCTCTGCTCCTGATTGTATAATTTCTGCTCCTCAGCTTCCTGTTCTCACAGTTCATTTGACTTTTTTTCCACCGCACATTTGTTAAGGAGAAAAAATAGAACAGTTACTTTCCAATGGGAAGCACTGCGACTCCTCTGTGTGGAAGCACACTAAGTCTCCAGAAGGGGAAAAATGGTTGCACTGTTTTAGGTCTTCTGCAGCCAAAAGAGAAATACCTTGATGGACAAGGCTTTTCTATGAGAGATACTGAGACTTCATAGAAACAACTGAAGACTGGCTTGCTTCATCTGCGATATTTTTAAAGAAGGTTGCCATTGTAGCTAAGAATGATATATTAAAGTCTAGGACACTGTTGGAATTTGCAAATGTAATGTAAGAAAGTAATAATGGAGGATAGAGCTTGAAGGAAGCAATCAAGCTGGCCAGATCTTAGAAACTTCCAAAGAATAAACGAAAGCATTTACCAGGCCCCAGAATGTACACATTACAAAACCGAGGCAATGTTGCAACAAGCTGTCAACCACAGACAGCATGAGAAATTGTGAGGAAACAGGAAAACAAGCAAATCTAGGTACCAACGTTTTAGTTGCATATTGACCTTGTGAAATGGTCACTGAAGAAGCCATTCAAGAAGAAGAGTAGGCAAATTACAGTTCCTTGATCCAAGTTGGAACAGTAAAATTGTGGGGAGTTATGGACCCAGCTTTCAGGGTGGTGTACTAAGGGGAGGGAGGAATATGGACCCAGCCTGGGATAGAAACAGGAATCAAACTGATTATTTCAACCAGGCTAATTATAATTTAGCCAAGCAGAGGGCCCAGAGCCCTTTCACCTCTTTGATTTTCATGCAGCCATTATTTGTTTTGAATATTTGAATATTTGTTTTGAAATGTTTTAACAGGCAGCAAGTCCATGCCATCCACCATCCTTAATAATTTATGGAAGCAATTAATATGCTGAAAAAATGGGGTGGATGGGGAAGCTTACCTACTCACTATCCACCGTGACTCATGGAGGGATGTTCACCTGGAAAAAGAGAAAATGTATTTGATCAGCCTTCCCCAACCATTTCCTTCTAGGTGTTTTGGAGTATAACTCCCATTCCTTACTATTGGTCATGTGTGCTGAGGCTAATGGGAATTAAAATCCAAAACATCTGGAGGGTATTTGGTCAGGGAAAGCTGTACTTCATAGTCCTACAGTTGTTATTCAGAATGTGCAGCTTTATTTCTGTGCTATTAATACATAAGTTATTCAGTGAAATCATCTGCAGAACCACAGATTGAAATAGAGAAGGACAGACTATTTAATAGTTACAAAGCACTTGGCTCTAACATTCACAGAATTCCATATATAGCATCTGTGCTTTTTGCAAAATCCTGGAAGATGTTCTTCCATATGGAAAGGCAGAGACAAAGAGGTTTGTCTATAGCCAGTTTGGGAGACAGAGATAAGATTTGAACACAGGATTTCTCAGCTCACGCTCTGCATCACCTCACCAAACAAGCAGAGAGACTGGATAGACATGGGCAGCAAAGATGATAGCAGAGATGACAGATGTAGGAATCTGAGGGTGCAGGGCACAGAGGTGTTCCTGGATGGAATGGTCCTCCTGTTACTAATTGAGCAGAAGTACAACTGACCATCCACCCTCCTAAAGTTTTTTCTGAGGAAGGCTGCTACATCTCACTCTTTTCTGACACACTACTGGCATGACACAGCCACGTGGTCTTTTCTCCCTTCACTTGTTTTACATTTTGAAGCAAATGATTCTTAACACCATTTTAGCACCATACTTTTAGTGTGCCCAGTGTTTAAAAGCAGCTCAAGTGCCATTTTTCTTTTAAAAACTGTACTTTTAAAAAGTGCCTGCAACACAGGACAGCAGGTCTACAGCTAAGCTTACTGCTGAACAGACAAGACTGTGAGCCCCATTGGTTTCACCTAAGAATGCATCTCTAGTCTAGTCAGCTTCATAACTGATCTAAGCCAGACAACCCAATATAGTCAGCTTTAATTTCACATTTACTTAGAAAATGTGCTGAGCTGATTGTCCCTGCTTGTTAGTTTGGGTGTATCTGGAAACATGCAGCGAGCAGAAAAGAAAGGAGGGGACTTCTTGGCATATCATTCATCTGTACTAGGGACAACTCCTCTCACTGTCCCTCAATCACACATTTTCTTACCCAAACCTGCAAAGAGTTTGTGCTGCTACTCTCCTTTCTTATAGATCATTCGCCTGTTAAGAAAATGTCAAAAGAAGTAGTAAGAAAATATGGGAGGATTACAACCAGATGGTGACAACATCTGGAAACTCCTTAATTTGACATAAACAAGGTATGTGGATTGTACATGAAAATCTTCATCAGGAAGCATCCAGGGTTCAGACTAAATTTAACAGCCTTATGGCAGCACTGTAGTCTTGGACCAGGGGGATTTAGCCATTTATGGCAGAGGTGGGGAACCTCAGGCCCTTGGGGTTCCCTTGGTGGACATGCACATTCCCTTGGCCCTACCCCCTAGCAACCAACCAGCTGTGATTTCCCAGTTGTGGTGCAATGTTTCCCTGTTCTAAAAGAGCCAAATGTCTTTCATAAGAAAGAGCTCTGAAATACAGTATGTTGGATTTAATTTTTTCTGTTTTTGGGGGCACCTTCCTTTTGCCTTTGGCCCTGGCCCTTTTCACTGGAGTGCAGTCCCTAAAATTGTACTTAATCCTTCAGCCTGAACAATGGTCTCCACCTCAATTCATGAAACTACATCATGAGATGAAGTCTTCTGGGGTTTTGAATTGGCTAATGTAAATTTTGGAAGGCTTCTTTAAACCCCTCGAGGCAAGAAATGACGTAAACTATAAAACTTGCTACTGGGATTATTATGTTCAGAGGCTGCTTGCTCTAACTCCATGGTTATGACAAATGAACCTTCTAGTGGGGTTAATCTGTTCCATTTCAACAGCTTTCATTTATCTAGCCATTTCAGAAAGGAGATTAGTGTTGAAATGTCCTGCACCTTACCCTAAAAATGGGTCTGTGTTTATGCTTAAAGCATGGCTTATGTAGTGCTACTCTGCACAAAACAGGAGTCACATTAATGATAATGTTAAATGGTTGGGCATTCTAGTCACATGTGGGGGCAGAAAATAGGAGTCTAGTCAGTATAATTAATGATGCCCTTGATTATCTTGGATACATCCTCTTATTGTGATTTCTGTGCGGGTGACAGAAGCACATGTAGCACCAAGGTATAAAGTATCAACTGTTATGAGAAGGATGTTTGCTTATTGTACCATTAGGCTGTAATCCTGTATAGCAAAGGTGCAGAACCTCAGGCCTCAGGGGAGGGCAAACTGGGGATTTCTGGGGTCCTAATTTGGTCCTTCTTGGTGGGCACAAATTCTCCCAGCTCTACTCCCTTGCCTCTGGCTGTGATGTTTTGATAGTTTTCAGGCTATTGTGCAGTTTATCCTTGTGCTAAAAGGCTGTAATGACTCTCTTAAAACTCATAATATGAGCTTTAAGCTAAATATGAGCTTTGCTGATTTTAAAATATTTTCATTCTTCCACCTTTTTCTTCAATCCTGCCCACCACTGGGATGAGGCTTTCAAGAGTTTCTCCAAAATGGAGTTCAGTGCTCAAACTGAATCAGATTCAACATCAGAACCACACATATATTTAGGTGTGTATCCCTCTTAATATACTTCGGGATGGTTAAGATCCTACTTTTGGTGAACCAAAGAGCTTGTGTGCACCCGTGGGAGAATTCTTCATCCTCCCTTTCAGTTTCTCAGATGCAGGACTGCTGCTTGAGAAACCAAGTCTAAATCTTCCTTGGGAACACAGCATCCATTTCACCGTCTTTGAATTCAAGCCAACATGTATCATTTATGGTCAAAAACCCATCTGACATTGCCTGGGTTCATGTAACCCAAACAGGTTGTTGTATTGTATGAACCAAAACAATTTTCTCCAGGGTCAACTGTTTGCAGGGAACAAACCACTGTAACCATCCACAGGCTGTTCTAGGGGTTGCTGTGCCCACAGTGGATTGCCACATTTTCTGAATTTGGACAATCAACCCCATTGTGGATATTGGGAATTGGCTGCAGAGTCCTTTGGCAAAAGCAGCAAACAAAGAAACACAAACCCCCTTGTTTCTCTTGCCATGAAACTACCAAGCAAGCTGCCATGTAAGTTGCTCCCAAAGTTCCCAACTTCAGATGCTACCTGGTACCACTCAAAACCCTCTTTTTTTTAAAGGCTCAGGAAAAAGGCACAATATGTGTTCCTGTGGGAACTAAAGGGCAAGGGGTATTTGAGGATCTTGCTACAAAGGGGGTTTAAATTTATTCCCAACTCTTTTCAGAGATAAAGAAGACACTTGTGTCTTTGGTTACAACTCACAGTTTGATGTAACCACATGTGGGAAACAGCTTACCTGCTATTTCTGAGGAGAATGCCAGTGTGAATACCTGCTGGATTTTGCCAGTAGGCAGCTCCTGCGTACTATCTGCCCAAGGCGCCCCATTCCTAAACCCATGCAACTGTGAACATTTTTGGTAGTGCAAGTATGGGACCTTCTGTTAAAAATACTATTTTTGCACATCGTTTGTAAAAAAATGGGATCTAAAACCCCTTTGCAAATATTTGCAGAACTAGTGCAAATAATGAAGGTGATGCTGATGTTGATGTTTAGCATCCATCAGCAGCTCCTTCAGTGTCCTAGTTGGGCACTATCAAGTGACTGCTCAGTTGTCAAAATGGGGATCTGGAAAGCCAACTTTACAGCCAGCTTTCAGAATCACTTAGAAAAAAGGGAGGGAGAGAAAAAAGCCAGAGCAAACCTGAAACGGCTCACAACAGCAGTAGGGAGTACAGTGGGAGAATGATGTACTCTTCCCACAGTGTCCCCTGGAATACCTGTGAAATGAAGAAGTGGGGAGGAAGGGGCCAACAACCCTGGTGAGTCTGATCATCTGTCAGGGCTTATTGTGGGCTGACTGCACAACAATCAATGCACCATGGCTTATTGCAACATTCAAGCTGTGTGAATCCAGCCAATGTGTCTAGAGGCTGGTCAGACCACCCAAACTGTGGTAGAAGGAATGCTACATTTAAGCTAGGGTTGGATGGGTCTGTTAATTTCAGTCTCTCTCTCTCTCTCTCTCTCTCTCATTTTCCCCATCATAGGTTCAGTTTACCCCAAGTTACATTTAAAGAAAGAAAAGTTCACATGAAAATGTGTACACATCTCTGTGAGTGCTTTTCCTAATGCATGCATATTTGTAGAACATTTTATCTAATGTACTCATTTTTGTAAGCAATTTTCCAAATGTTATTTTCATGAATATATGCATTTTGTGTGCACTTTCCCCTGCATTCTGCATCTGCATTCATCTGCATTCTGAAATCCTTTTTAACTGGGAAAATCCATAGTAAAATCTGAAGAAGCATAATGGTTAACTAAGTTTTAATTTGAACATGGGTTCAAACCTGCAAAATTACAAGAATTTTCATTAAAAATAGAATAGCGCAAATAGAACAAATGTTTCTCCTGTTAGGTTAACCACACACATCCTTATGGTTTCTCCTCTCCAAACTGCCACTTTCTAAAGGTTCTATGCTCTAGGAAAATGTATTTAGACTCTCAAGCAAGCTAATCCTTGGAAGGTGCTAGAGCAATGTCAGTGCATTCACAGAGCACTCCAATGTGGCTGCCCATAACCCTCTGCACCTGCCCTGCACTTCTTCCTCTGAGATTCTCCTGTCCTGCAGAACAAGTACACTGCCAATTTCATCTACATCTCTTGCCCCTGCATGTAAGGAGGAGAGGCTGTGGAGTCACAAGGTAACCTTGTCTTCCACTTAAACCCCACTCTTCCCGGCTCTGGCCCCAAGAGCATAGGTTCTGAGCTCAGTCTTCAAACCCTGTAAGCAGAGCCAGTAGGATTCTTTCTGTGCCAGTTGTGAGAGCAAAGGAAGGGCAGTCTGAATTCGGAGACCCTGCTCTGATCTCAGAGCGTGTTTCTCCAAATTTTCCTGTGGCTGTCTAAGCTGTATAGCAGCCCTAGGCTCGTGCCCTAAGGGAGTGATTGTTAGAAGACAAAAAAAAAAAAAAAAAGTCATATTACAAGATCGCCTGGAGAAACATGTACAGTGATAATTGGCCCAGCATGACTGTTGTATAACTCGCCAAGGTTACTGAAAAACATGTCAGAATGCACATGGAATCCTGCCTTTCCTCAGAAACCTACTAAGGACTACTGAATAAGCTGTGCCTCCCCAAAAAACAGCATGCCTGCCTCCATCAATCTTCTCTTGCAAGGCCTGACCTCCAGGGACCATAGAGATAAGGAACACAGGAAACTGTTTTATACCACCAGGCCATTGGTTCATCTAGTATCTTTCCAAGCCCTTAATGGGAGATGCTTATAACTGGATGTGCCTCTTTCTACATTCCAAGCATATATGAGATCACTCTAAAGCAGTGTAGTTCAACATGCAGCCCCTGAGGCCTTGTTTTGTGGCCCTCTTGCTGCTTCACCCCTCACCCCACCAACAAGTCCAGATTCCAGCCGTGGCATGGGCATGATTGTGGCAAGTGACAGAATCTTGGTTTTCAATTTGTGAGGAATGAACACTCAAACACATGGGGAAGATCTACAAATCTGAACTTCTGCTGCTTTATTGAACTGGTATTCCAGTTCCTACAGTAACTAATGACAGCGCGCTCCAGGGTAGATGCAAGCTCAACTACAAAATCACAGCCCATGTACCAACACTTTTATAACCTGCTAGTCACATACACAGAGTGATATGATAGATTTCCAGATGTTAATACAACAGCATCTTTATGTCTTTGGGCATGACATAATGTTCTAAACCGATCTGAATTACTGGTAACAATAGTATGGAAAATCTTACTTATTGCTTTATTGACATGTCAATTCAGTAGATTCCTTACAGTTTGGATCAGCCTCTGTGTCTGTTTAAACATGCAAATATGTCTGATTGAGGAACCATTCAGGAAAACAGGTTTGACAACTCCACTGTGCAGAAGCTTGCCTCTGTGGAACTGGATGATTGAATGGGTCCATTCAGAAACAAATGGATACTTTTGTCTCAGCTTCCTGCAGCTGATGGGAACACAGGTATTTCCCCACTGATAGTGTTAGCCTACAGCAGCTTTTCAGTCCAACTAAGAATTCCATCTTCTTAAAGGAACAGCAATGTTAAACAGTAAGCTGTGGTGGAATTCTGCTGCTTTCTGAGAAAGAGGCACAGGTTTGATTTTATAACACAAAGGCACATATAAGCAACCTTTTTCTAACAGGATTTATTCTGAATTTCCCCAACACAAGCTCTCACAAGGCTGCCAGCCCATCCAATTCTCTTCCTGAGGCTCACCCCAGCATGCCCTGTGCAACTCCAGTTGACAAGAGCAGGTATTCAGGAGCCTTTGCACTCATCAGCAGGAGCAGGCAGGGCATGCTGGGGAGAGTTCCTCGGCATAATTACAAGAGGCTGAGTGCACCAATACCAAGAAGGGAGGAGGAGCTGGGAGGTCACATGGGAGGGTTTCTGGGAAGGAGAAACAGGGAAGAAAGACATGGGCCACCCAGCAGAGCTGTCATTGTGCTTGCCTTGTAGTCGAACAAGGAGCTACAAAGCATTTTAAAATTTATATTAGTCCTATAATCATCTTAAAATTAATTCTCCCTCAATGGTTAATTAAATATATTGTGTACGTTAAATTAATATATTGCAAACACTTTAATTTACACTATGGAAATGTAATTTGTGTAGCCCCTTCCACGTCGAAGTCCTCATGCAGCCCAACATATGAAAAGTTGGACCTCCCCTGCTCTAAAGCCTCTACTGGGTGTGTTCCAGGGCATCAGTGGGCAGCAGGTCAATTTTCAGAGGTACTGGGTCAACTCTAAGCAGCCCCTACAACGGCCAGTGAAAGGAATGCTGAAAATTGAAGCCCCAGACACCTTGAGATCTACTTTCTTTCCACACCGGCTTCAGAGTATTCCATTTGAAGCTGGGCAACAGTGCAGCTTAACAAAGTTAATTTACTTGTAAACTGTCTTGGGATTTTTAAAAGTATAAGACAGTGTAGAAAAAAATTAAATACATAAATAAACGGCCTTGCCAGGGCCCTGTGTGAGGCTGATGGCTGTCCATAAAAAATTATCAAGAAACTTTTGTCATGAGCAGTCATTTTGTGCAGGAGAGGGTGCTCTTGTTTTCATTACCTGATTATGAGTGTCTGGCTAACCACTGCAGGAAGAAATGCTAGATTAGATAGATCAGAGATGAGCAACATGTCCCCCCCCCCCGCATGTTTTGGTCTAAAACTCCTGTCAGCCCCAGCTAGCATAGCCAAAGGTGAAGAAGGAAGATGGGAGCTGCACATCACCCAACAGAACTTCGGTCTAAGGCTCTAAGCCATATTCTTTTCCTGAGGAAGGCAAGCCAATTCAGAGATGTATCCCGAAGGCAGAGTTTAGAAGCCACTGCATAAGTGCCATGGAGATATCAGGTTGGGGAAGGATGGATACACAGCCCCAAATAGTACCTCCTTGCTCTTAAGTGGCCGCAACAAATCACACGACGCTGCTCAAGTCTTTGGCACAACAACGAGCAACTGCAGACTGAAGAGGGGAGCCAAGAGTTTCCTTTAAACATGCGTGGTCCACGAACATTTCCCATTCCCTTTCTTTTGCGGGGGAGGGGTTAGCGGCGACCCGATTACGAACACGCACCCAGCAGCACTTTTCCTCTCATACGTCCGCGGTGCACTTCTCCCTTGTTGTTCGAATTGTGTCTGCGGCAGGAGCGGGAGGGAGGGAGGGAGTGTCTTGGGCGGAGCCGAAAGTCGGAAATGGCCAATCAGGACAAGAACTTGCTTGCCAGATCGACTGGAGCCAGTCTTACAATTCATGTTATTCGTGGCCGAGGAGAAGAAGGCGACGGCGACAGGAGGGAGGGGGCTGTTCTGTCTGTCTGTCTCGCGGGCGGGGCGTGGGCAAGAAGTGGGAGGTTTCGGGACGCGGCGCGGGAGGGGTCCGATTGTCTCTGTGTGTGATTGTGAGGGGGCATGAGAGGCGCTGAGGCGGCGGGACTTTGATGGGACAATGGCGGCGCTAGCGGCCTCTCCTCGGAGTCGGAGGCAGTTGCGGAGGTTTCGAGGAAGTTTTTGCTGTTGGCCGACTTCGTCGACGACGACGACGGTGGCGGCTGGGTTGCTCTTGTTTTTCTTCTTCCCTGAGGCGACAACGGGTGAGCTGCGTATTACATTTATAACGAGCTTGGCTTTCAGTCCTCCCCCCTCTCTTCCCAGCAACATGGCGCTGCTTCTGGGGCCGCCCAGGAGGAAAAAAGCGCTGGGGATGGAGTCTTGCGAGACGCTAGCGAGGGGACGCCGAGCTTCATTGTTGGGAAGCAGCTGCAGTGGCGGACCGGACAGCGGCCGCTCTGAGCAGCCTGCGCGGCAGCTTTCGCCACAGTTGTGGCGGGTAGAATAACCCAGCCGGCGGGCCTTCTTTCCTGCTCCACAAAGCCCCGTGTCTGCCCCCGTTGCGCCAGCCGCAGTCGCCAGGAGCTTCTCCTGAAGAGTAAGTGCCGTGGGAAAAGAATCCTAGCCAAAGCGGGGATTCCTCTTCTCCGGGGTATGTGTCTTTATGCATGTAAGCACAGCACATCGTGCGCTTCTGGTGTGCGTATAAATATTAAGTGTGTTTGTGCAGCTTATGGGACACCCCCCCCCCCACTTTAAGAAGCTGTGGACTGTCTCCTCTCTCGGTCTCAGGAGTGCCCTTCTTCCCAAGCCTAGAGGAACCGAGTGTTATCTTCTTCCCCTGTCCACCTTTCCTCCTGCACTATTTGCTTAGGTAAGCCCCCAATCCAACCGACTCTTTCCCCCAGTTTTGTAGGGAAGATGCTTATTCTGTATTACAGATGTGTTTGCTATTAAAGAGAGGCGGGATGGGATGGGTGGCAGTTTTGGAATGACTCCGTTTTTGGAATGACTCCGTCCATTCTTTGGTAGACCGTGAGCACTGTCGTGACTAGTGGTCTGGCACCAGCCAGCCTTGTGTTTTCTTACCAATGTAAGAAATTTAACTGGCTGTACCGCACAAGATACTGCTGCTTGGTAATTTATTGGTATTTGGATGATTCATGTTTCATCACACAAGCTTTCATAGTTAATATCTGTAGTAAAAAAGGGGAAACCCAGTGTTATTCACAAATTAGGATGACAAGATGTGCGAAAGCTTGCAAAATACTATTTCGTGTCTCTTTTTAGGTAGTGACATGGAGCATAGTTACTTGGAATAAAGTTTTAAGTGAAATTAGAGATGTGAAGGGGAGGCAACAGAAAAATGACACACACACTACTGGAAAATTGTTTTCTCCCAAAACTTTTCTGTTCTTTCACAGTTTTTCCCCAATTTTGTATATCTCAAATGAAATCAACATAAGTTCCAAGTAAATGTGTTTGTATAGAGATTTTTAAAAATTCTGCGGATTACATTGTATTTGGAAATGAAAACATAAGAGATAGGAAGAATCATATGGAACTCAGACAGTGTTTCTGTAATTTGCAGGGAGAGTAGTTGTTGTTTAAAAGTTGATCTGCACATATTCATAAACTTGAGTTATTTCCATATGTAACCCACACAAATTTATAATATCACGGGTCCTTTCCTTATCCTTGGAGTGCCCCACATAAATCACAGATGCACCACTGTTGTTTGTGGCAGTGCTTTGGTACAAAAACAAGGATTTGAGGTGTGGATTCACTTGACTTCTATAGGAAGTATCTCAAACCTACTTTGATGATGTCTGATTTGTATTGAAATATAGCATTGTAGGTCCAGCACCATTGTGCTATCATAGTGCAAAAACCTAAATTAAGGCATGGATCCTCTTTGGGTCCCTGTGGTTCTTATAATTAGACAGTTTAACAGGTTATCACTATTTTGCATCTGTGCCTTGATGTTTTATTGCAAACAGCAGTGATCTACTAGATTGTGGCACAACAGTGATGCAAAATTATAGGTCTGAGGTATGATTCCTCTTTTTTTTTTTTGTTCGTAGACAGACTCTCCCCACCCAAATTATCAGAGCTTACATCTATGGGCAGGAACTGCAGCATGAAAATCACAATTTCACTGCTTCCCTGAGATTGAAGGGTGGCATATTTCTTTTAAAAATGTATAAATAAACTGCATCATGGTACCTGTGGTACACAGATCTTCATTCTAGACATGCACTTTCATGGATTCTTAATCTTTTTTGCCTAGATCTGATGCCCCAGATTAGTGATATAAACATAGCCTGTATGAATGTACCATGGATTTAGTATTTGTTCTGGTATTTCAGAACTCAGAAATACTGTAGGTTAGATATAATTAACCATAGTTTAATATCCTGAGTTATCAAACACATGGTATGTTCGCACTACAGTTGTACAGTGGTAATTCATTTCACTATGTTGTATTACTGCAGTCTTGTGAATGCCCAGTTTAAGGGATCAAGTCCCACTATTGCCATGTTTTTTCTTTCAAACAGATTCTGTAATAATTATTTGTTTTAGAAATAACCTAGTTTTAGACTAACATCCTCAAAACAGTTATTCTAGAAGTAGGCAACCTGGTGCTCTCCAGATGTTGTGCATCACAACTCACAGCATTACTGACCATTGGCCATGCAGACCTAGGTTTAAGGGTGTTGCAGTCCAAAATGGTTGAAGAGTATCAGGTTACCAAACTCTGATCCAACCTTTAAATATACCTTATACTCATCCTTGAAGTCTGTATTGTAAACATTACTATTGAGCCTCTTTATCCCTGTCCAACAGAGCACAGCTCATCCCCTGTCACAACTAGCTTTCACTGTTTGCCTCCATTTCACCTGCCCATCAGTACAAAACAGAATCTGAGAGACAATGACAACTTTCCTTTCGGGATTCAGAAAGCTTCTCTAGTGAAGCTTTCTGCCTCACGTAGCTTTATTTTCTGCTAGGCTTACCAAGTCTCAGTCATGGAAAAGTGATATACTAATAAAGGAAAGAGTGTTTTCCTCTCAGTAGTGAACCATTCTAAACATGTACAGTGTGAGGAAAAAACTATGCTAGGATAGATTATATGAACCCTATGTAAGACATAACTCCACCTCTTGCTTTTAGCAGTACTTCTACCTGACTTACCAGCATTATATATGATTGGAACAGTCTTTTTCCCACCACAAAAGGATACTACATTTTCCCCTCCTTGCTTCTTTTCCTGTTCTTTCTTTGATAAAGGAGATCCTTTACAACTTTCTTCCCTTATTATTTGCTATAATCAGGCTGGACACAGAAAAGGAGAATTCCAGGAGAAACAATCTTAGTGGGTCAGTTGGATCACTGAGAGTTTATGTGTGAAATGGAAGGCTCTCTAGCATTGGATTTCTGTGGCTAGTGAAGCTGCAGCATCTTGCCTTTTCACTTCTAAAAGGTGAAGCTGTGTCTCAATCCATTCATATTGGCTTCATTTGCCATCCTTTGTCACTTAACTGGCTAAATTGGTAATGAGGGAATGTAGGAAATGTTGGCCAAGTTACAATCTGACAGTGTACTAAGTTAGATTAAAATAAGCCATTTGATTAAGACACTTAAATTGGTGTAGGAATATTAGGCTTCCTTGTGCTGATTTCAGACTGCAGGATATCTAAGAGTGACATCTCCCCCCACCCCCAGACAGTCTAGTGCTGACCTTGGGGATGCATTGTAGGGTTCAAGAAGTCATGCCATATGTTAAAAATAGGGCTGGCCTTGGTAATAAACTTGATATTGGCTGTTAAATATAAGTTACATATTGTTAACTAATACAGGAGAAACAGTAATCATTGCATTGCAGCCATTTCTTCTAAGCATATTGTTGTGGTTCTTCAAATCTTGTTATGAATAGTTTAGGTATAGGAGGTAGTACAATAAGAGTAGTATATGCTGATCTTCCAATTACAGGTGTTTAAGAGTACATTTCATTGTAGTGGTTTGTCTTCCCTCACCTACATGTCTTATTTAATTTTCAAGCTGGTGAATTGCTCCTATTACTGTAGAGAACCAAGAAAATATTCCTGGATTTTTTCTGAATTTCTTAATATCCAAACAGCTTTAATGTTACTAAATGTAGACACATTTTAAATGGTCTTTGAGCCAGTCAAATATCTGTTGTTCCTAGGGTATTTTCCTGCAGCTCTGAAATGCAGCACAAAATTCTGATGCAGTTCTGCCGTATCACACTAGATGGTGAGGGATGTTTCAGGTATGCTGGATTTTCCTGCCTCTGTGCCTGCTGTGTAGTTAAAGCTTTGAGTGCATGGTAGATGCTTGGCATGGAAACAAGCTGATTTGCCTCCATTGCCCTGTTCAAAAGTCAGTAGAGGTATGTTTTCTCGCTCTGCCTTTTTGCCTGTAGGACAGTCTGAGCTCTAGCTGCCTTGCAGGCACAGAGAGAAACTTGCACTCCCCTGCAATCCTTCTGGCTTAGTTAAGGATTTCATACAGTGTTCTTACCCTTTGGCATCTACTGTGGCAGGAGGCCCTGCTCATATGATTCCTTGTAGTGGCCCCCTCATAATTAAGCACTTCTTGGAATGGCCATGATTTTTGTGTTAGTGGCAGGCCTTTCTGCATGTCCTGCTTTGAATGTATTCTCAATTTTGGATGATGTCCTTGATTTATAGACTTGATTTGTAGATTCTAGTGGATGGCTATCTTGTTTTTAATACTGTTTGGATTATTGGGAACAAATTGTTCACAGGATTGATA